CTTCCAAAAATAATGAAGATAATAAAACTGGTTTTTTTTTTCATATGATTCTCAGAGATTAGTATTAAAAACGTTCATACCCTAATTTAATTTTTAAGTTTTAGTAAATGATTTTAAAATAAAATTTTTTATTTTATTATTTTCAGATCAGAAATTTGAAGATAGCTAATTGATAGAGTTTATTTTTCTGACCATTTTGACTTTAACTTATTATTTTCGTGAACTTCGTGATTTTTAATATTTTTTTGTATTTTTAAATTAGAGAACAATAGTGATAATGTTTAATTAGTTTTATATTATCCAAACATTAGTCATGTAAATTGCTAATAATCTATTTGACTATTATTATTATTATTATTGGTTATGCATAATTGACTTTTCATTAATTTTTTCTAACTAAAAAAATGTGTTCAAGTTGACGGAGTTAATGAAAATAAAAGTTGAAACTTCAACATTTCCAGAAGAATCAAATCTATAAAATAGTTATCTTTAAATTTTCAAAAATAATAAAAAGATTTTTTTATTGTTTTACTAATATATACATTTTTTATTTAAATATTAATATGCTAAGTCCATTTGTCCAAAAAATTGAAATATGTCAATTTTCATTATCTCAAGGGATATCGTAGGAAACTCTGTTAGTTTATATATTTTATCTTTTTACGTTTGCGCATTTTTAAACCGTTCAAATTCCTCAAATATAAACGAGTATAAAAACAATTAAAATGCTGTAAACCATAAATACCATGAATATCGTTTTAATAATATCGAAGCAAAAGTAGAATATCAATGGCGACGGTAGTTATAAATGTGATATTAATCGATCGAATTTAATGTTAATTTAATTTTGCATGATAGAAATAATATTACAACGTAATAATAAAAATAAAAAGTCGTCGATAAATTGTTGCATCACCTACTTCTCGGGTTTCCTACGATATAATAATTATACCTACTCTCAAACGAACGCAGATATATTTAATTATTAATAATCGATTTTCGCCACTAATATAATTATTTCTGGTGAGTTTCACCTATAAAATATACACGATACAATACATATCGCGTAGTAAATTATGTTATTTTTGAATATTAATTTTTCTTACATGTACCTTGTATTAAACCATTTAGGTTTACATAATATCCCGAAAACCTATGATTATTATACCGATAAATTCCGATACGTCTCGTTCGCAAATTAATAGCGGAGCTTACTTCGTAACGAGAGGAAAGAAGTTCTGTCTGTGGTCTGACCATAGAACTGAAGTATACTGAAACACGAAAAGTACTAATACCATTATCGCAGCGCTTAACCAACAAAATTAATGTTAATTACTATGAATTTTAAAAACAATTTAATATGGTGAAAATGACAATTAATAATTTTTCATGCCATATACTATTGTCTTATATCTATCTAGTATAATAGTTAATTATAAAAACTGTTAGAGATACTACAAAATTTGCAGTACATTTAAATACCGGTAATTTTATTAGATTTAACATTATTACATTCGATACATAATTTATTTTTGAAAATGTCCAATCGATTAATTTAATATTTTGTTTCCCGGATTTGTCTCTAGTGGAAAAAAAAATGAATGTGATTTCTTGCTTTAATAATTTTTAAAAGTAAAACGCCGAAATACATGTTATAATGATATAGGGAATAATTTTGCCAATGGGAATACAGTACGTTACCACCTATAAAATGCAATTTCTTATTTGTCATCAAACAAGCGTATAATGAAAAATATGAAAACTCTTGCGCGTGTGGGTGCAGCCACTGTTGTAGGTTGGGAGTTGGGAAGGTAAAATACAGTAGGAATTTAAAGTATATCTGTAAGAAACGATAAACCATAGCTAACGAAAAAAACGATTCTGAGTGGAGTTCAGTTGATAGTGTTGCTTTGTCAACAATATATGTTCCATAACATAGTAAAATAATTAAATAGGCATTAAATATATTCTTTACTCTGTTTAATATTGTATCTATTTTCCCGTTCTCCCGTTTTTTTCCGGTTTTTCTAATATATTGAGAAAACTTCTGAGAAATTCTAATAATGACTTCCCTAAAGTACCTTAGGGGTCTTTAATTTTTATGAAATAAAATAGAGCGTATTTGATACACTGATAATATAGCTTTTTTTAGGTGAATAAAGTTTTAAAATTGGTTAATTAGTTTTTGAGCTTATCCATTACTAACATAAAAACAAATATTTTCTCTTTATAATAAAAATAATAATATTTAATAAGTTTAGATAAATATAATTTCAAATGAATCATAAACAACCCAACTATAGTTAATTTAAAAAATGAACCATTCAAAATAACTGCTGCACTAGGCATTAAAGTAAATGATTCCGAATGAACAATGTCCCTGGATTTTATACAAATTATACTGTTATTAATCTAATTAACACAAACACCGATTTAAAAGTAAGTTCTAGTATTTAAAAAACCGCGAAGAACGAACCCCGAATTGTGTTCTGAATACATACTAGTAGCAATTAATACTGATATTTGATATAGTAATAGTTTATTAACCTTCCTAAGGTTAATATTTTTCAATTTACTGCCCAAATGTTTGACCGCAAAATATGATCTCAAAATACTGTTACTTCTAAAAATTGAAAAATTAAAAATACATTACCAGAGTTATAATTATTTATTTCATTCATTTAAGAAATAATTAATGGTTTTATTTTTATGTTAATACGATATACCTCAAAAAAACGAATACGTATTTTGATAGTTCGTAAAATTTCACGAGTCCAGTACGGAAAACATCTAACCACCTTAGATTGACTAACTCTTTAAATATTTTGAAGTGACTACGATTTGATTTTTGTTCGTGTTCGACATTTAATGTCACATAATTCGGGTTTTAGCTAACCACGTTTTCGTCTTATTCAAAAATCCCGCCTTAGCAGTTGAACCCCACTGGAAAGGCGTTCGATGTTTTTCTCGAGCTTGATTATGACTACACTATTTAGAATTTACATCAACGAATTAATCATCTCTCAAATATATATTGGTCATGCCCAGTTCATCACCCATGTATACTACAGGTGTTACTGGTAATAGCAATTGTATCATATGAATACTAAATATCATTTCCTCGTCTAGTGGTCGGGCGAGGGATAACATTATGATTTCCATTCTAAAATAATATAAGAACTACTCTATTTTATGTTTATATACACATATTATTTTATTTAATGTATAATCATTTTTTAAACATAGAGCTGAAAATAATGTTCCATGGTATATATCATATGTTTCATCTACTTAAGTAATACTGTTATACTGTGCATAAAAATGTGTTTATTAAATAAATGTTGATACATACAATCCAGCTTGTTCGTGAGTCTAAAGGTAATTCGTAAAACAACTATTTAGTGCTCGCACATAAGATTATGCATATTTGTGTTTAAGTTGTCCAAAGCTGAAATAAAGAATGAAATAAGTCCCGAGATTTGTTATATTTTCACAAAATTGTCGTGTTTTACTTATATCAGCTTACGCTACAACTAAATGAATCCTGTGAGTGGTTTGATATTATTTTTGTCTATTATCAGTAGTAAATTAAAATTATTGTTCCATTATTATAAAAGCCTACTTATTAGTTCTGTCTTTTTTATAGTTATATTCATCTATTAATGCTCCTTAAGATTTTACTTCATCAAAGCTTTTATTTAAGTACACTACAAAGCAGATATTCTCAAGATCATTAAATGATTTCGGTTTAGGAAGTGAGTCCAACAAATCTTGTCTTTAGTATAAATATGGAACAGCATCTTCTCGAAATCCATCTACAGCATTGTGCAACCGAAATTGCAACACATTTCATTAATAAATAGACTATTTTAGTAGGTATTTAATTGTAAATTGTAATTAATTACATACTTTTATTTCTTTTTTAGCAGATGGACACCTAAAATTAAGTTTTGACTGCTCTTTATAGAATTGATGTAGATAATATTGTTGATGCTGTTCATTCCATTCCCACACGGTTCCACTAAATATTGATAGTTCAAAAATAAAACACAAAATGACATAGGAGATAGCCTATCGTGTGTTTTTGATGCTTATATCTTTTGTGGATATTTGAATTAAAGTTCTACCTATGATATTTTTATTTAATTTTTTTTAGATTCTGAGCGTAGTGAGGGGCTATTGGTTTTACAATGCTGTTTATTCTTTACTTCTTTTTGTTTTTTTGTCAGTAAATTTACTTCAAATTTTTACATTTAGCATTTTTTCTGAAAACTCAAGTTGTCTAAATTGTACTTTAATAGGTCATTTTTTAAATTTTCGACGCCATATTTCAAATAAAAGCATTTAAGCGGGAAAAAACGTAGGAAGACGTATAATTTCAGGATTTCATACAATTTTATTTTATAAAAAAAAAAGGAAGACCTTTTCTACCTGAATAAATGATTTAATCGAAAATCACAAGATACCTTTGTTGTTGCCAGTTTGATTTAATTTCTTACGGTATCACTGCCAACATTTTTGAACTTTAAAGGAATTTAATTTTTAGGAATTTTTTACTGTAATTCGGTTATAAATACCCGTAGTGACTTGAAACTTGGTAATAATACTTATATTGGATTTGCCTAAACGTGGTAAAATTTTCAAAAATCATCGGATGACTTTTTCATTTTTTTACAATGGTACTTTTAGTTTATGTTTAATAAACAATGTTTATGTTTAGTAAACAAATTCCGTTTTTACGGTTCTAAAATCAAATATCAATGAATATACGGAAAGAGTTAAGAGCATTATTGCGGTGTTTATCGAATTCAAAGAATATTGTTAGTAACGTTTATGTATAAATTTTAAAACTAGTACTTAAAAATCGCAATGAAGTATTTTAAGTCGTATCTTAAACCTTACATAATATTTTTCATTATACGAAATGTTACAGATAAAACATAATCTTAATCTATAATACGCTATAAATATAATAACATATGTAATTTTCTGTGTGTTTCCCGTAGTATTCAATATGGTAGGCACTATTGGATATTATAATACTTAATCTTAATGATTAGAATATACAGTATTATGTTCTGGGCGATTCTACGAAGTGAGGGCTTACCGATGATGTTTAATCTCTATATAGGTTCTCAAATTTTTAGCATGCTAAAGAGCATACGTAATTTTGATAGATAAACCGATTTTTCGACTAGAAGATATTAAATATTCATTGACGTTCCTCCTGATATTTGTATCATTGTAATCCTATTTTTGTTAAAAAATTACTGCACATCATGGAGTTCTGAAACGGTTGTTTATTTATCCACTAATAACGTGCAGATTATGAAATCAATCGGAATGGCCAAACATTGCGTGTGTGGCATAAGATGCCAATTGTCTCTTTTCAGAAAAAGTGCTAAATTATACCATGGAAATAAGGTGTCTTGCAATGATTTGCCAATTACACGAACGTAGCTTTTCTTGAAAATATTTCATTATCTAGAAACATTACCCTTTGTATATTATAATAATATAACAGTTAAACCACTGGTTAATAATATTAGATTTACCGCAGTAAATGGCATAGGGAAAACTTTTTAAAAATAGAAAAAATCCTGATAGTCAAATTTCTTTTTAGAAAACACGTAATTATTTTGAAAAACCGATAAATTTTCCCAATTACATTAAACATGTTTTTAAAATCCCGACATTTTTTTTTCTCCGATATCACATTTTTTTTATATAAAAATAAATGTTTAATATATAACTTTTAGTCCTTAACGCTTTTAATGCAATAATCATTAAACAACTTTAATTTTAGAACCTCTTTTATTTTATATACGATTTATATTTTCAAACCAATTTTTCGTGTATACTAGGATAATAATAATAAAAAAAAAAAAATTAAAAAAAAGATATCTTAAATATAATATTATTCGTTAAAATTATATAATGAAATACTTCACAGTCTGCTATACTTGTTATTATCATGTATTAGTAAATATCGAAAAAATGTTATATTATAGTGATACTACTTAACTCGTTGATCGTCAATTGAAAAACGAAGACTTCAGAACAACTGCAGCACTAGGTCTTAATGTAAAAGATTCTGAGCGAATAATGTCTCTGAAAATTGTAAAAATAATATAGTATTAATCTACATAATACAATAATCATAATTTTAAAAACTATTGATTTGAAAAATGTTTAAAAACAAACCCCGCATTGTGTTCTGCATACATACTAGCAACTATAACTGTCAATTTATATGGTAATAGTCCATTTACTTTCCTAAGGTTAATATTTTCTAACTCACTGCCCAAGTTTATGACGACAAAATATGATCTTAAAATACTGTTACTTCTAAAAATTTGATAAAACATTATTATTATTTTTTCGTCCTTAGTTCATTCGCTGGTGTACTATTTAATGTTAACATGATTTACCTCGAAAATGCAAATACGTATTTCGATACTTCGTAAAATTTCACGTTTCCAGTACGGAAAACGTCTAACTGCCTTAAATTGACTAGTTCTTTAAATATTTTCAAGTGGCTACTATTTGAGTTTTGTTCATACTCGACGTTCAGAGTCACATAATTCGGGTTAATAGGTAACCATGTTTTCGTTTTATTCGAAAATCCTGCCTGAGCAGTTGAATCCCACTGGATAGGCGTTCGATTTCTTTCTCGAGCTTGATTATAACCATACTGTTTAGAATTAACATCAACGAATTGATCATTCCTCAAATATATATCGGTCATGCCCAATTCATCGCCCATATAGATTACAGGTGTTCCGGGTAGTAATAATTGTATCATATGAATACCGTCTATCATTTCTTCGCCAAATCTCGTGGTCGGACGAGGGATAATATTATGATTTCCAATCTATAACAGTATAATTTTTTATTGAATGTATTTATATTATTATGTTTAATATAAAATTATTCTTATAGGTTGATGTAGAAAACACAAATTTTGTCAGTTTTTCATTAAAAAAAAAGAAAATAATTATGTTAATTTCAAATTGTGTCTTCATAAAGAAATAGTAAAGTTTAAGAAATTATATAGATATCTTATATATATGACTTCAAATATCAAATATCATTGTCTTTATATTTAAAATACTTAAATTCTTGGAATACAATATATTATATTACTTTATTTCCCATTTGTTCTTCTGAACTTAACAATTCTGAGTAAGCGATGAACAGGTGAGTGGACCACTTATCTAATCATCTATTTTAAAATAAAAATTATAGGTAAATAACTATGAAAATTATCACTATATCCCGGTTTAACTTATAATTGTTGTAATATAGATATGTTTAAATTATCAGTGTTTGTATTGTATTCTATATGTTTCTTGGTTTTTTAATATAAGAATTTATTAAAAAGTTAACTCAGTGTACCAAACTGAACTAGTTACCATATACTAAGTATGATTTATTCAATAATTTAAGTTACGTACAATCCAATTTGGCCACTTTCCTGGTGGCAATCCAAACAGATTTTTTTTAAGTTCATAAACGTATGAATTCGCAGGTTTATGCGATAGTTTTCCAAGAGAAAAACTTAATGAAAAATGGGCACCAGGATGAGTTGAATTTCCATAAAATCTGTTTGTGAGACTTACATCTCCATCCACGTCAATCATCAAAAACCTGCGATTGGTTTATTGTTAGTTATTTAGTTTTTAATTAAAATTGCTGTAAATACTTCGTTTCGACGTCATTTTTGGTGTATTCATCTAATACGGCTCTCCATGATATAACTTCTTCATAAGTCTCATTTAGATACATAAAGTAACCGTCATCATCGGTTTCAAGTTTTGCAGGTGAATCCTTTAAATCTTGTCGTTCGTATAATCGTTGCACAGCGTCTACTCGAAATCCATCCACGCCTTTATTTAGCCAAAATCGCAACACATCCTAACATAATAGGTACATAAATTATATTTACTACAACTGTTTTATTTAATTTTAAATTATACATAATAAAAAAGTCGGTCATACTTAGGAAAAGAAATGGTGAAGGTTAGTGATGGGTGATAAACTGTTAATAACTGTAGTCTTCAAGCAAAATAAAAACATTGCTAACAAAAACTGATGCGGAGTAGAGCTAAGTTGACTGATGCGACTAGAAGAATATGTTTACCATTTCACTTTTATATATCCAAAAGAACCCAGAAATCAATCAAAAAATAAATTTAAAAAAGACTATGATAATGGGAATGGGTGCAGCCACTGTTATAGATAATTTAATTAAACATTATAATATATACATACTATATACGCACTAATGCATTTATACCAGTAAGTAACGATAACCATTGCTTACGAAAAAAAAATGCTGAGTGGCGTTTAGTTGATAATGGTGTTTTATGAATTATAAACATGCCTTATTATAGTAAAATAATTAAATAAGCTTTACGTATTTTCTTTAATAATTATACATTTAATGTTGTATCGATTTTTCCGGTTTTCCTACGTTTTCCTCGGTTTTCCCATGTTTTCTAACAGTTTTTCACATTTATTGAGAAAACTTCGGAGAAAATAAAAAAAACGACCTCTTTAAAATATCTCCTTAGTGAAATTTATTTTTAGAAAAATTGCTATCTTACAAGTTGGAGCAAAATTGCTGAGAGAAAAATTGTCCACAAAAAAAAAAATCGTAATAATATACTAATGTGTTTCGTACATTTTCCCGTCTTTCCTTTGTTTTATTAGTTTTTTCGTATTTAATGGAAAACTCTTAAGAAAATCGAAATATGACCTCCTTAAAGTACCTCCCAATACCGAATTACTTTCCGATAAATTAGGAAGCACTTGTATTTAATCTTTGGACATAATTTTTGAAGATGTAAAATAATACTTTCATTTATTTGAAGTACAATTTTTAGATCGCTAATGAATGTAATGAATTTTGGTTTATCATATTTAAATTATTAAGGATTTATAGAAAATCAGTCATCTATTAGCATTATGTTTGATCCTGTTTTTGTTTTAAACAAAATCAATTTCAAGTTTGAGTCAGATATTTGAACCGCAGGAAGTACTTTAGATACTAAACTTGAAAATCTATTTTATCTAATTGCATATTTTTCATACTTTTATTTCTTTTTGGACTAATGGGCACCAATAGTTAAGGTCCGGTTGTTTTTTATAGAACTGATGCAGATAATATTGTTGTCGCTGTTCATTCCATTCCCACATGGTGCCAAAGAAGGGAGATAGCTAAAAATAAATAAAACATTAAATATTGCTATTTTTTAAGGGTCCGAAAATTGGCTAATTTATAGTCATATTGTCATACGTTTCATGTATAATGAGGTTAGTTTGTAGTTAGTAGTCGTAAACACAAGTATATGACAATGGAAAACAATAAAATTTAAACAGAAAATTTGTTTCTCACCCAATTATTTGGAACTTGTCTGGTTTCGTTTACATATTTTGCATCCGCCCATACGTAATAATTGGTATAAGGTTCAATTTTTTGTACAGATTTAACAAACCATTCGTGTTTATCACTTGTATGGTTTGGTACAAAATCAAGCAGAAATTTGATACCTATAAATGTATTTATTTACAATTTACCGTAATATAATTTATTGATATTACCTGAGTAACAATATTATGATTAAAATTGGTTTCTGCAAAGTGCATAGACATTAGATATGTAAAATTCCGATGCAGCATGCATTAAATTTGGTCCCAGAAATGGTTAGGTCGTTGAAATACACGGTGAATTCTTATTATATGATGTATATTTAAAATTGTATATTTACATATGAAATTAAAAAAGTGCATTTGTATATCAGTGTGATAGGACATTTATTATTATTTATTGCTTGAGTGGTAATTTAGCTTCGATCAACGGTTTAAGATGATAGAATTCTGATAATCTAATTTATGTTTACTTGCCATATAGAGAAATCAATATATTTATTGGAATTTATGATATTTTAATATTTTAGTTTTTGTGTAAAATCAATAAAATTGAAGATTAGGCAGAGGTGTAAATAATTAGTGTAAATAAAATTGTATTTTTTTTTTTTTTTGTAAGTTAGGTACCTATTCTAAATTTGATATTACATTCAAAAACTTACTTTTTCAAAAAATAACGCGTAATAACTTTTTAGAATACCATAGTATATTATTCGAAAATGTTACATTTTCTTTGTTTTACTCTTTATCTATCGTGTCAAACTGATCTATCGAACCGCGTTAACATGATTCCGACGTATGAGTATAAGTGTATTTTACCGCCTGGACACTAATTAAAGGTTTAAAACAGTTTAATGCAGGTTGGGTACTTTCCATGTACCTTTGGTTTAATTGACCAACCTGAGCTCCAATAATTGTTACTCGAGTCTCTATTATCTAAATATTTTCCACTTAGTGGATATAAATATACGTAATATTTTATTGAATTTATACGAACCGTTTTCGTGAAGCCGTGTTATTAATTCATCAATATCTTCCATGGTTCCAAAGATATTGTCTATATTTTTGTAATCAGTTATGTCGTAACCCAAATCTACTCCTCCAGAAGGATTTATGGGGCATAACCACACGGCCTCTATTCCCAAATACTTCATATAGGGTATTTTTTCGATAACACCTAAAATGTTAAAACTTAAATTGTATTTATTTACCTACTTATTTCTAGGTTAGTTTAATAGGGATGATTGTAGATTATGATTTTAGGATATGTCCAAATTTTAATCTAATTCCTATTTGGTTCATATCTGCTCTTAATGAGAATTTATTTTGTTACAATTTTCAATTGAATAACTTTATATACCTATATATTTAATTTTAGACTACTTTGGAATTATTGAAATAGTTTCATGAAATTGAACATATTTTACAAAATAACATATTAATCCTTTAACACTTTTTGATAGAATTCGTGATGCATGGAATAAACTTTTTGAAAAAAAAAAAAATTTACCATTTTTCCATAGATATGAAGAATTGAAATTTTTGAATTCCGTATCTTTTTTATCATTCTTTGTTGAAAACCACCTATCAATTTAAAATTCTTTAAATTCTCGATAGTGTTCATAATATCCGTATGAGCAAATTTTTGCGGTTACAAATAATTCACGTAATTTAGACTGGTAAAAATATCCGGCGATAAACGATACGGACACAATATTTTACTATGAGATGTATTTACCTTAGTATTATTTACCGAATAAAACGGGACGTGGAACTATAACTAATACTGTTAATTGATTGAAACTAACAATTAATTGGAATTTTCACACCATCTCCACTACTTACCTGGTTAATTTTTAATATATCGTTTATTTCTTTTATTAAACTTACCTTGTATATCTCCTACACCATTTCCGGTTGTATCCTTGAACGATCGAGGATATATTTGATAGATAACCGCTTTTTGCCACCAATCCAATTCATTTTCCCGTTTTATTTTACCTAAAAAAATAAATATTTATTCACAACATTTACCGAGTTTTTAAAATTATTATTATTATTTGTTTACCTTCTATTATACTATTTATGTTTAAATATCCTGAATATGTTTCCCTCTTATGATTTTTCCATAAATTAACCGTGAAGTTTCCCCCGTAACCAAAGGAAACAGGTTCCGTGTTCCCGGTTGAAAAACCAAATACGAACAAAATTACGAAAAATGCTAATGCCATTTTCGCAGTTTTCATTGAATACAAATATTACTGTTAGTAACGTTGGCACACGAATTAAGAAATTATTATGACATAGTAAATTGATATTGGAAGGTATATCTTAACATGGTGTATTATTTTTATATGACTATAGATAAAGTATAAAGTTTTACAACACTTCATAATAGTAGGCTTTTTGTACTTAATTGCAGTAAACATTTATATTAGTACCCGTACCAATACCAGATAACCGTAAAATTATTTGAGTTAATTGCGGTGCCGGATCAATTTAAACCAGATTACCTAATTCAGTTGAATTAAACATAACAACGATAAAAGATATGCACCTTTATTAAAATTAATTTAATCTAATTGGTACGTTTCACATATTATTTATTGAATTATTAAGCGATTTTCATAACAATTGGGCGAAAAAACGTAAGAAAACGGGAAAATTTTTAGTACATGTATAAAAGTAATTTTGATCTAAATCATTTTTCGTTAGCAATAGTTTATTATTGCGTACATATTATATAAAATAAATTCCCTCTATATCGTACATTTTTAACTTTTCACCTACCCGGTATTATTTGTATGGTGATACAGCACGTGGTGTTTTATTAGTACTCCACTACTTTCCTCCTACCTAAACATAAAAGCAAAATTTCTCGTTTACGGGTTGATGCAAATCAAAAATTTTAACAGAAAAATGTACTTAATAATACTCCATCTATTTATGAAGTTTTTAATATTGATTTTCATTTGTGAAACTAAAGTTGGTATCATCACAGATTACTTTTCAAATGTTACGCAAAATCTAAGTAATCGAAAATATCGGCTTTTTTAACACATAACAATGTCAACAAATACAATTTTAATATATGCATAACTTAGCTAAAAAAATGGGCTGAGCATGCTTAGTGAATCACATAAATATTTAAGGCAAATTTTAAATGGCCAAAAAAGTGTTATATACCTAAATCAGAAAATAATACATGAAAAATTGTGATTTTTACGATTTTTAATGAAATTTGGACTTCACACAAATTTGACTACAGTTCTCGGTAAAAAAACCAGTCAAATATCTTCCACCTCTGGCCACTAACCCGCAAGAATTGAGCGGAACCATTGAATTGATTACATGGGCCGCATTACTGACGACGACGCAATCTCCATCCTAGGTTATGGTCGAGCACACACAAGGATCCCCCGTGTAGCTTTACATGAACTTTGGTGAAAGTTGCACGGACATATCAACTAAACTGTCTAAATAGTCGTCATTCCGGTAGAACTGGTTCAAAGTAACTATCTGAAATTGTTTTCTGCGTTTGCGATTCGATTGTTACAATCGGCAATGGCACTGACATCATATTGACGAAATTTCAATTGTATAATATAAATTATGATAGTAAATAAGTACACTATTATAGTTTTTAAACCACGTTGTGCCTTTTGTTTTGATTTAAACGCTTCAATTTACGTTCTTAGCAAAATAAAAAAGCGGTTACAGGCGACAGACAGCAGTTAGATGAATTTTGCTCTGTATATCTAAGATACTATTGATGAAACTACAATTATTGAATACCACTCTTCGATTACACAATAGGGAAATAATAGTCCATTCATAGTAACGGGGAATTATGATTCGTTTTAGAGATTTTTTTTTTTAAAATAAAATTTTTACGTGGAGTTCTCCCCGGGTACATTCAATAAAACCACGAGACAAAACAGATCTTTATATCCCCATGGAAACAAAAATAGATTGGCAATATCCCCAGGGACAATTCGATCCTACCGTAGACTTTTTGATCCGCCAGAACCAAATGTCACCTATATATGTCCCCGTCCATATACGTCTTTATTGATCACGAAAAAATCGATTTCGTCGACTATTAGTTACACTTACAGATTTTTTAATTCTAAATTCAATATTCTAGTATTGCTTTGTCGTCGGACGGAATCGGCTACACGTATTAACATTACCTAAATTGTCGCAAACGAAAACCCCACCGCAAACTTCACTATATTACTACAACGTTATAAACGAGACACATAATATCCACTCGGTTAATTTAATCAATACTTCGAGCCGTTACGTGACTGTAATACTGAAGGCGAAAAAAATACATATACACACGTGTCATGTAACTTTTGCATTACACAATAGCCGCCAATAAATTAACTACGTACTGCACTTGTTATTGTTATAAGACAGCTCGTGCGGTGCACCCCAGCGTTATTTTATACGTGTGTTTAATCCGTTTTGCGGCAGCATTATAGAAAAAAATAAAACAATAAGGGAATATAAAAGGACTGAAAATCCGATAAGTATATTCTTGGGAAACATAAAAAATAAAGAAACGTATTATATAAACGACGCGATAATTTTTATTTTTATTTTTTACGTGCATCGTTAACCGTATTATAAGTAGGTATATGTATATTTGATATTTCACCTATTAGCAGATTACATGTTGACTTTAGTCCCGGAGAATAAGTGATGAGTCGATTGTTAATAATTACCAATACGTTACACCCTTGGATGTACACTAATACACTTAAGCCGTTTCCCCGAAAAATAAGGAAAAAATTGCAAAATCTGGAATCGAAAAACATGCAAAACTTATTTGTACGAATTGTTTGTTTCCGGATCGTAAACACTCGGACTGTATTTTACCGAAAACCTTTTAAATCCGGATTGTATTTTTTTGGGAAAAAAAAGTACAGTCATGGACAGTACAATTCTGGAAAACAGATTTTTCCGATCCGTAATTAAGAACTGGATTTCGTGGAAAAAATATAAGTAGTTACGCGTACCGTTGCTAGTCCCGATCGCTTATTACCTAACCCTATACACACTATCTATATTATCTTATATCTAATAATAAATTCTATAAAACCACTCATTAACTCATTAACTTTTTTCGGATTTTTTTTTTGACAATTTAAGATATTAGTAGCTCTAAGGAGTTACACTACCATTATTTTAGTCGCCCTTATTTAATATATTTGCGGTTGAAATAAATCATTTTGATTTTCAAACGATCTCGTAACTGTTTTTAATAACAAATATTAAGGCTTGTTTGAGCTAGTTTCCTAAATATTCTCATATTATCACCAATCTACTGCCCGATGATGCCCGCTTTAGGAGTGGGGAAGCAGTGGCATAATTAGAAAGAAATAAAAAAGAAACAAACATCATTTTAAACCAAAACATTCCTCGCTCCACTACGGATCTAAAAACGTGGTTAAGGTAGAAAGATATACGAGCATTGTAAGGATTGATTATACGCACCTGATCGTGTATATCCGAGAATTTAAAAATGGTTCAAACGTTTTCCAAGATTCCGAGGTAATACGGTTCGTGATTAATAACTTATTTTACAAAAATATACAGCCCGAGCATTTATAATCCGGGAATAGACAATCCGTACTAATACGTTTTGCATATTTTTCAATTTCGAATTTTTACGGTCCATGACTATAATTTGCAAATTTTTTTTTTCCGGAAAAATACATTCTGGGTTTATAAGGTTTCCAGTAAAATACAGTCTGAGTGTATACATTGCAGAAACATATAATACATACAAATACAGTTAGAAAATAAAAATTCTGGAAACCAAATGAATCGCTTTAACCGTCTTAAACATTTTATACGATTTTTCGAACTATTATTTTAATATTTACTTGTAGGGGTATGTCAGTAACGAAAGGGATGAGACGATATCTTACAGAAACATAACATTTTAGCGGGAAAATTAATGGGAAAATCGTACATTAGCTGAATATACGTATACCTATATATTTTATTATTACTGTATACCTACCAGTAAAACAAACTCGGAACATCGGAACAAGTGCGAGCGACGGAGGATAAAGGTAGCGGTTTTCGTTTTAAAATTCATAAATAAAATATTCATGAGAAATTAGGTGTGCCGGCAAGTTTTTAGTTAACCGCGTATACATATATTATAGTATAATATAATATGTATATCTTGTAATCGGCTCAACAAAAACTACAGTTTTTGTAACTTTGAAAAAAAAAATCCTAACATTACTTAGGTACTACGCGACACGAGAAAAAGTTTATCGAGAGTCTTTCTGAATTATTTAAAACGTACATTTACGTTGTTTGTTTGTTGTTTTTTTTCTTTTTGATATGTATTGTTAACAAATTTGTGACTAAAAATCTCACTCCAATTATCAATTTCAGCAACTTCAGGGTTGTTTTCTGGTAAAACATTATGTCAGTTATGTAAGATGTTTTCAGGTACATTACGGAGGATCCCAGATAGCAAATTAGTAATGATTTTAATACTAAAATATTATTAATTCAGTACATTTGAAATGTTATAGTTAAAATAATAGAATATTATTTTATTTACCTTATATTTGTAATATTATTGCAGTAATGTGGAAAATAAATATTACTGTATTATTATTAATTCGTAACAAAAATAATATTTTTTTTTTTAAATTACATTATAACATTTTAATTATAATTTACTCATTATGTTATTAAAACATTGTAATAGAAATCTTAATATATTATTTTTAATTCATCTGAAAAATAATATTATTGATAAAACCATATAGTTTCATTATAATTATAATACTTAGAATATATTATTATTTATAACTGTATAAAATAAATTATTATACCATTTTTAATTAATTTTGAAAAAAATAATATACAGTGACGCAACTAAAGGGTGAAGAATTGATTGTGACCCCCCCCCCCCCCTCGAAATATGTTTGTGAGTTGAATTAACTTTTTATTATAATTGTATTTAGTCATTACATTATCGTAGCCAATTTTTTTTTTTTTTTTTTTTGAGAGGAGGGATCACTTATCATTTTTTATATTTTATTGAACGATAAAATACACAAAAATAACCTATAAATAAAAAAACAGGGGACACCCCCTACTGGTACTCCCTCCGCCATCCCCTGGCACTAGTGTTCACTATTCATAAGCAATTATAGTTCCTGTTCCCAAAAAGTCCGCAATTTAAAGGTGTGTCACTTATATTATATTTTGAAATTAATTTAATAACTTATATACTCGTCATAAAATTACAATCAGATAAGTAGTCAGGTAGTCTAGTGGTAAACTGTTAGGGCGTTTGATTAATATAGGCAGAGTCTCAGATTCGATATCCGACTGTGACTATTGACTAAACATTCAAGGTTCTGGTTTTTTTGAATTTTTTCTAAACAAAAAAAATATTTAGTAAACATTCTAATATAATTAAAATAATACTTTATAACTAAAAAAAATTTAAATATTTTTTAAACATTTTTTTTTATTAATTTTATAATAATATTTCACACTTGGCCAAATAATATTACTAGAATATATGTATCTTGTACTTTTCTCAACAATATAGGTAAACCCTGGAAAATTGGAACATCCGTAATAATTTTGCAATAACTTGTACTATTAATGACGGTTTTTTTTTTATTTGAATTACGAAAAAAATAAATTCCCAACAAAATATAACATGTTAAATATTGTTCGCGTTCATAACCAAACAAATTACTGTCATACCAGTACGTTTTCCTGTTATTCAGAAATCTTTTATTTATTGAGAATAAATAAATAATTGTTTTATATAATATATTGTTACACGAAAGTGGCTTTTATATGGTTTAGAAAGCTTCGAGTGGGACAAAAAATACTTCAATAGTATGCATTTAGTAGTAATTTTTACAATAGTCTACCTAGTTACTCGAAAATTGTATTTCGTATTCAATATTATGTTGTTTGTTCTTATTTCGTATGCACTATGCGTATATTATATTAATGTGTATTTGGTTTATGGTTTCACCATATTTACCATAGTTATCGGCATGGGGTTTTTTAAATTTAAATTTTGAATTTCTACCGTTTGAACGGCACTGATACAGAAAAAAATGAAATGTTTACACGCTTGTTAGGTAGTGTTTTATTTGAATTATTAACTGGTTTGTGTTTATAACTAAACGTAATTAGACTAATAATATGTGAGTGTAAATATTGTAATAAATCGACGAGCCATTAAATTCTTTGAGGAACGTTCTATTTACTTTTGTTCACCTTAAATTTATATTACATCGGCATTTTCATTATGTCATCTGCCTTACGGGAAATATAGTAAATTTGTTTCGTACGTCCAATATTATACTCCGGTTCTAAATAATATCCTTAAAAAAAATGAGCTGATTAACTGGAGATGTTGTAGTAGTTGATTGAAAAGCTAGAATGCATAAAGCTAATTAATTTATATCTGTAAAAAACGAAAAACCACAGCTATTTAAAAACAATTCTGAATGAAGTTCGGGTAAACCTGTTTTGAAAGGTCGTAATTTTGCATGATCCATTTTGCAAATGCACAAATCCAGAATAGGATTTGTGACAAAGCTGTTATCTAATAGCTATAGTTTAAGAACCCCAGAGGGGTTAATAATGCTTCAAAAAAGATTTAGAAGGGGCGCGTGCCCCCATCGCCTCCTTTGAATCCGCGGCTAAGGTGCACTGCTTAGACTAAATCGGTATCGGGGCTACTGAGCATAAATGCACGATAATAAATAATACAACATGGATATTAACCCATTGGTATAATACAAATTATTAAATTGATTACCTATATGGTTGTAGCCCCGTCACAGAATTTCGCCGCCGGCATCAGGTGTCAACTCATTTGATTTTTATTGCGAATATTCATAGGCTGGCTGCCGTAATCAAGATCCGAAACCATTTTAACCAATTCATTCTGGTTTTATTTTACCGCGGTTGTAGGATTAGGACACGCGGCGGGTAAAGTGGCGTCAGCTGCTGCAGTCTTTTGAACGATGGCCAGCGATATAACGCTGTCAGAGCGTACGTCATATTATTATTATTATTACTATCGTTATCATCGTCATCATCATCATCATCATCGTCTTGGTAGCAAGAAACGCTCTGAGATTTGTTTATAGCGCGCTTTTACCGCGTTAATAACAGCCATCAGTCAGTCGGTCCGGCGCGGAGGCGGCGCCGCTATATCTTCGAAATCCGCCGAAGTCGTCATTGAAACAATCGCGGCGAATTTACGCTTATAAAATAATAACGACCCTTGCCCACGATTATTATCTTGTACTACGTGACCACGCAGTAATTGTTAAAAACAATTCCGTCTGTATTACTACACGTACCTATAATAATAACCCTTTACACCTATAACACCGCTCTTGGTGTGTACTCTCGATGACCCAAAATATGAAATTTTTATCGGAATTCCAAAGGCTGTACTTATTCAGGGACTGGCTACGAGATACTTCAAAATGAATATCTAGATACACGCGATACTAGACACTTACGTAACAAGTATTACAATGCAACAAAGATACCCGGTAACATTGTGTGTACAGTGATACTTGTTTATTTCATTTTCGGACGCGTGCACTATTCCAAAAAGGTGGTTATTTAATTGAAACATTTTAAGCATTATAAACATCTACACAATTAATTCCGAAGACATACATTAGAGATCTATCCGCAGATTGAAGCATATTCAGATTTGTTTCTTATACTTTTTGTTTGCTAAGAGAAAAACATGTATAAATTATAGGATTTAATTCCGAACTTCTGCTTACGAATGAAATAGTTAATACCGACATATTTTATTGTTGCAAAAAAAAAAAT